AGAGAGAGAGAGAGAGAGAGAGAGAGAGAGAGAGAGAGAGAGAGAGAGGGGTTAGTGAAGAAAAAAATCGATTCTAATTATAATAACGAAAAACAAAACAAAACTGAAAAATTGGATTCTTTTTTTGTTATGTAGAAACGAAAAAACGAGGTGTGTATGGTGCATTTAATATGGATTTATTTCGGTTCTGGGTATTCTATTTTTTTGTTAGTTTGATTTAGCTGACTAAAGAAAAAAAAGGGGTAATTAATATATGGATACAAATTACAAACAAACAAAATAAACGTTTTTTTTCATTTACAACAAATGTCTTGAAATGTAATTAATAACAAGAGAGAGAGAGAGAGAGAGAGAGAGAGAGAGAGAAAAGAAAACAAACAAAACAAAACAAATTCTGTCTGACAAAAGTCTAATTTTCATAGCCAGGATGGATTCCTTTGTTCATAGAGTGGTGATTCTATGGTGCTTTTTAATTTTTTTTTAAACACAATATTCACTTGTCACCGGGATTCAAAGTGTCAAACAACATTTACATCAGTTAGTCAGTTTGTTTAACAATGTATTTTTTCTGGTTCTGTTTTTCGGCTTTGTTTTTTTCAATTCCCGAAAAAAAATCAAAATTAATTGGCCAATTTTATCATCATCATTGTGATAATAAATCTTTTTGTTTTTTAAAAGTTTAAATCCAATTTGACATTAACAAAAATTATATATATTTTGAAAGAGAGAAAACACTAATGAATAAAATTGATTATAATGAACGGAAGTTTTGAATTTTTGAAGAAGATGATGATTATGATGATGAAAAAGAAATTTGACGGGAATTTGATGAAATTTCCAGTAAATTTTTCTGGTTGACAGCTTAAAAAAATAGACTGGTTTATGATGGAAAGAGTAATTGACAAAATTGATTTTGATTTTGTTTTTTCAGAATAATGTTTTCATCATCATCTTTTTTTTCATTTTTCGGTTAATGTCATGCACACACACACACAAACAAACAAACATTGTTTTTAATAATATCATTATCAGAATAAAAATACTACAAAACAAGGTTAATGAAGTTTCGCTTTTTGTCAATATACATTGAATCAGGTTATGTTATCCTGTTTACCTGTTTAGTTACTATTATAATCGGTTTATAAAAAGTTTTTATCATATTTATTTTTCGACTAAAATCATATTCAAATCGGTATTTATTTTGTTTGGAGATGAAATTTGATTATCAGGATTTTTTTCGAAAACATTGATCATCATCATCGATTTTTGTGCTTTTAGTCGAAGTTTATCACTGATAATTCTATTTTTGTTTTTGTTTTCGATAATCATGTTTTTCTCTGCATATAAACACATGTTATTGTCTTATTATCGTCAATAGAACACACAAAAGAAGACAACGAAAGCAAAGAAATTGAAAAGGTAAACCGTGGAAAGCAAAAAGAAAAAAACTTTGAAAAGATCAAATAAATTGATAAATAGGAAAAACTTTTCCAAAAACAAAATTCCTTTAGGCTTATTATTCAATTCAGAAGAAACTTTTTGTTTTCCTATATATCAAATAAAATCAAGAAAAACAAAAACAAAAATTGGAATCGAAAGCAAAAAAAAAAAAAAAAAATATTTTTTTTCGTTTCGAGAGAAATGTTCCCGAAAAAAGCAAAAAAGCAAAAAATTGAAAAAATTAAAATTTGTT